TCTGACTTGATAACTTATAAATTATGATAACTTTTTATAATATTAGAGTTGGTTTATAGTGTTGTGTTGGCAAAGTTGGAGTTTTTTATTTATTTTGTATGTTTTTGTATGAGTTTTGGGTGTGTTTCAGCCACAGTGGGCCTCAGAGCACAGTAGTACACAGCAGAGTCAGACACACGCAGATTCTTGATCATCAGTGGAACTGTTCTTGATGTTGTATCCAGTGTCGCAGAAAATCTCTTCTTAACATCAGGGTCAGTTATTCCTTCACTAAATGGATATTTATTCAGAATCAATGTTGGTGATTTGTTTGATAGTTGTTTGTACCAGAAGAGATAAACATTTGTAGCTTTGGTAGTGTAATTACACATTAGAATTACTTGATCTGCTTCATTTGCAGTCATTTCTCTTTGAAGGCTGTTCAACTCTGTCTTGCCCTCAACACACTGGAAAAAAGATTTAACTATTAATCTTTTACATATATGAAGTAACTCACAAGAAATAATAAAGTGTAAACTATGAACTTACCAAAGTCCTGTGCTGTGAAGAAAAGTGTAATTATTACCAATTATCACCATTGTTGAGAGAAAGAGATTAATATTTTAATGTGTATTCTTATGATTATGTCTCTTTGTCTGATGTGAATGTAGCTCTTGGTTTCCTCTGTGTTGCTCTTCTCTTGATATTTCAAGTCTTCAGGTCTGGAGGCACGTCTCCTTAAAGACACCTTGAGGGATGCTGCCTCCCTGTGGTGAATTTATAACCAACATTTTTATCAAAAGTAACTCATAAATGTGAAATACAATCAGAATTAATGCAATCAGACACCAAAGCAGTAACACAATCCATATAATGTTTCAGATTTCTGCAAATACCAGAGTAGTCTTGTAGACCTGAGGAGGTGTGTTGTTTTGGTCCAAAAGATCCAAAGATTAGGACATTAGTAATGACACTTTTTGAATTTAAATATTTTTTTTTATTAATAATGTTTATAAATGCAAAATGATTGGTTTCTGTCTTGTTTTACAGCTTTGTAATACAAATTATTTATAACAAATGTCATGATAAAGACACGAGTGTGGAAGTTGCTGCAAGATGTTGTATTTTTCTGTGATTATACCACTAACTGACTGCAGAGGGAGTCTTGCACAAAAGTTATGATCTATTTCTATATTTAGTTCTGTTTTTGTATGAGTGTTGAGTGTGTTTCAGTCACTGTGGGCTGCAGAGCACAGTAGTACACAGCCGAGTCAGACACACGCACATCCTCGATCATCATTAGAACTGTTCTTGATGTGGAGTCCAGTGTTGCAGAAAATCTCTCTTTGAATTCATCCTCAGTAGTTCCTTTACCGACTGTAAATTCACTCAGAATGAATGTTGGTGATCTGTTTGGTAGCTGTTTGTACCAGAAGAGATAAGCATTAGAAAAACTGGTAGAGTAATTGCACAGCAGAGTAACTTGAGCTGCTTCATTTGCAGTCATTTGTCTTGAAGCTTGTTCAACTTTGTCTCGTCCCCAGCACACTGGAAAATAGATTTACCCATTATTCATGTACTGACACTGAGTATCTCAAACAGATAACATGTAAATTATGAAATAATGTTCTTACCAAACTCATGAGCAGTGAAGAAAAGAGTAATAATCACCCACTTTGCCATTGTCACTTAAAGGTGAAAAGGGAGAATATTTTATCAGAACTTTCCAGAAGTTTTTTCTTCTTACTGTATAGTTTCTGTTTCTCTTTATGATTCAGATTCTTCATGGGGTTCAGCTTTATATAAGAATTTAAGGAATAATGCCTCCTTGTGGTGAGTTTGAATAGATTTTGCTGATCTGGACTATTTATATTCAATTGTACCATATTCTGACATGATTCACAACAGTGTAACTGATGTCAGAATCAATTAATCAGAATAAATGTGAAGAAAAAAATGAAATTTATTTGACACGTTTGCACTATATGACGAATTTGACTTTGAGTGGAAAACTTTTCTTTAAGAGACTCAGGCAGACTTCATACAAAATACCATGCAGAGGAAATATTAAATAATAATGTGATATTTAGTCAAATCTACATGATTGTAATGTACTCTTCTTCCACTCTCTTCTATAGTTTGGTAACTATAGTGGGTTTCTTAGCCATAACTTTAACGCCAAGGATTTTCACGAGATTTTCAGTCAGTTTAGATGAGGAATCTGTTTTTTTATACTGTGCTTCAGAATACAATTAATTTATGAAATATGCTTTAAAAACTGCCCTTCTACTCTAGGATTAAGCAGTGACCTTGAAGTTTAGGCAATTATAGGTTGTTCTCTAATTTTGATCTCCACTGTATGTCCGCAACTATTACAATTACTTTAGCATGTTTTGCTTATTAATAATAGCAGTCCACAAAATGTTATTTTGATCTTTCACTTTTTTTTTTTTCCCTTTATAATTTAAAGTAAGTTGCATCACTAGTCACAAACAGGTGTTTCCACAAGTATAATTGCATTGTGTGAATTATAGATTGTGGGTTTGATTGATTGTTTTTCTGCTGTACATCAAAGGGAGTCATACTGTACCTGGAGTCAGAATTAATATCAGAAACAGGGATTTTACCATGTTTACTAGGTCAGATCAGTGTATTAATGTTCTCTGTGCTCCAATTCTAATGTATGAGTTCAGTCCTCACAGAAGAGGTGTGTCTTCTTTTTTTATTTTTTATTTTGAAAACAGATGGTTTCACATGCATGCAGGTGATTGATTGGAGGTGACAGTTTTGAACACTAGCACAAGTGCCTTAAAAAAAAGAAATCAGAAAGTATGTGTGATCAGGCTCTGTTGGTATTTTTACACATTCTGGGTCACTGTACTGCACTCTGTTTAAAAAAAAAGTTGAAGTGATAAAAAATAATGAAATACATTGGAAATACTATAGATCTGCTCTGCTTCAGTAGAAATTCACAACTTCATGACTCTAGATCAGGGGCCGGTGTCCCGCAAAGTTCAGCTCCAACCCCAAATAAACACACCTAAACCAGCTAATCAAGCTCTTACTAGGCATACTAGAAACTTTCCGGCAGGTGTGTTGAGGCAAGTTGGAGCCAAACTCTGCAGGACACCGGCCCTCCAGGACCGAGCTTGGGCACCCCTGCTCTAGATCAAGCGGCAACCTCCCGCTCTCTCTCGTGAAGCCGACAAGGAAGTGACTTAAACTGTAATTCATCAACTGGCCGCTAGAGGCTGGCGTCGAGCTAGGTGGGCGTGGTTTCAACAACCAGCTCCCGCCTCTTTGCCCATCTTCGATTATCCGGGAGTGACGCGCGGTGACACACTGCCAAGATGGCGACGGCCGCCTCCGCTCACTTTTGAGCTTCAAAAACTCTCTTCGGAACCCTACGGGTGACGTCACGGACACTACGTCCATGCTTTTATACAGTCTATGCTCTAGATTCATCTTGAACTTTTAAATAGCTTGATGCTTTGGTTACCCACAAAGAGCACTTTATTGTTTATTACTGATGATTCTGACTTGATAGCTTATGACTTATGATAACTTTTATAATGTTTTTACTTGGTTTATAGTGTTGCGTTGGCAAAGTTGGAGTTTTTTATTTATTTTGTATGTTTTTGAGTGTGTTTCAGTCACAGTGGGCTGCAGAGCACAGTAGTACACAGCAGAGTCAGACACACACAGATTCTTGATCATCAGTGGAACTGTTCTTGATGTTGTATCCAGTGTTGCATAAAATCTCTTCTTAAAATCAGGCTCAGTTATTCCTTCACTGAATGAATATTTAATCAGAATGAATGTTGGTGATTTGTTTGATAGTTGTTTGTACCAGAAGAGATATACATTTGTAGTTTTGGTAGTGTAATTGCATGTTAAAGTTATTTGATCGGCTTAATTTGCAGTCATTTCTCCTGGAGGTTGTTCAACTCTGTCTTGCCCCCAGCACACTGGAAAATAGATTTAACTGTTAATATTTTACATATGAAGTAACTCACATATAAAGAAATAATAAAGTTCAAATGATGAACTTTCTTACCAAAGTCCTGTGCTGTAAAGAAAAACATAATAATCCTGGAAGCGCTATATAAATGCATCATTCATTCATTCATTCATTCAATAATCACCCATTTTTCCATTGCTGAGATAAAGAAATTAATATTTTTTATGAGTTTGTCTCTCTGTCCGGTGTGATTGTAGCTCTTGGTTTCCTCTGTGTTGCTCATCTCTTGTTATTTAAAGTCTTGAGGTCTGTATGCACATTTCTCCTTAAAGGGGTCATATGATGTTGCTAAAAAGAACATTATTTTGTGTATTTGGTGTAATGCAATG